AGCAAACTGTTGGGACTATATAAATACTGTATAATAATAATAATAATAACAAGAAACACATCAGCAGACAGTCCCTTAAGGGGGAAGGGCTGCCGGAAACACCCTCCGCCAAGCCAATACACAAACACATACATCCCATAATAGTTTGCTCCCAAGCAAGACACACAATAGAACAATGGGGAAAAAACCACATGGCATTAAACAATGACCAACCCCCACCTATCTCCTAGACATGTCTACACAATATTAGAACATTTCACCCTGCACCCCTAAGAGGCACAGAGTGACTTACACATAAGAGGGATATGGGGAGCTGAGACAGGGGTCTCCCCACCTCTCCAAAGTCAGTTGGGTTCCATGGGCCCTCCATGCAAAGTCACTCCCTTCACAATGGGTCTATGTGCCTGGCTGCAGGGCAAAACTGGTGGGAAAGACCTGCACAGTGTCCCTGCGGCTAGTTATTAACAAATACAAATAATTAAATTATTTTTAAAAGAGTACTTTTTAGCCCATTTTAGGTTTTCTAAAGAGACTGGCCATCTCTTTCTACAGCCTCTTGGACTCCCTGCATGCTTTGCAGCTTTTACTCACAGATTTCCAGGAAAGAAATGTGGCGGATCTTCACAAAGTAAGTTTACAAACCTCAAGATGGTTGAGATGAAAAGGAGTAAACTAGAGATGTCTGAAATACAATGTGGAAATGAATTACACTTTACCATGGATACACTTGAAGTTGAGTTGCACACTCAGCAACAATTTATACAACATTGTATTACTTGAAAAAAAGACAGGCAAGCGTTATTAAAAGAAATTCTGCCCTTCGGGAGATAATAAAATGTGTTTATAAAAGTAGCAGTTCATTGAATTACCGGTTGTGAATCTAAACCCAGCCGCTCGCTTCAAATATCCACTTTAGAGTGAAGGAGAGTGCCGTAATTGTCACTTTCTCTGCCGACACTATATTTTCTTTTTTATTCTGAACTTTTCTAACCTCTCCTGTACACCCGGTAAGGGCAAATCACTCCTAGCACATACAGCATTTCCATTGCTATGTATTAATTTTCGTTTTTTTTTTTTCAATCAAAAAACTGTTGTTTTTTTTTTTATAAAAGGTTTACGGCATATATCAACTCAGTTTAATTCCAAGTAGATTAGGTTCCAGGATAGTTTATATACCAAGATGGGTTTATTGATATAATATTTAAATATCTCATTTGAGGAAATGGAAGTTGTAAAAAGGAGGGGACAGAGGAGTAATAGGTGAGTGGGGGGTGGGGGGGGTAGGGAAAGTATAGCATGAAGGGAGATGGTGTGGAAATAGAGTGGTGGGAGAAAAGGTAAAGGTACAGTGGGGTAGAAGCTCATTAGTCATGTGTCACAGGTCTGTAGTTTTGCTGGTAATCCTAGTGCCAGGTCACCCAGTGACTTAGTATTTCCAAGAAGATTCCTAGTGTCCCCCATTGTTTCCCAGTGGAGAAGATTCCTAGTGTCCTCCATTGTTTCCCAATGGAGAGGATTCATAGTGTCCTCCATTGTTGGAGAGGATTCATAGTGTCCTCCATTGTTTCCCAGTGGAGAAGATTCCTAGTGTCCCCCATTGTTTCCCAGTGGAGAAGATTCCTAGTGTCCCCCGTTGTTTCCCAGTGGAGAAGATTCCTAGTGTCCCCCATTGTTTCCCAATGGAGAGGATTCCTAGTGTCCTCCATTGTTTCCCAGTGGAGAAGATTCCTAGTGTCCCCCATTGTTTCCCAGTGGAGAGGATTCCTAGTGTCCTCCATTGTTTCCCAGTGGAGAAGATTCCTAGTGTCCCCCATTGTTTCCCAGTGGAGAGGATTCCTAGTGTCCCCCATTGTTTTCCAGTGGAGAAGATTCCTAGAGTCCCCCGTTTTTTCCAAGTGGAGAAGATTCCTAGTGTCCTCCATTGTTTCCCAGTGGAGAGGATTCCTAGAGTCCCCCATTGTTTCCCAGTGGGGAGGATTCCTAGTATCCCCCATTGTTTCCCAGTGGAGAGGATTCCTAGTGCCCCCCATTGTTTCCCAGTCCAGTCCTGATGTACTGACACTTGTTTAGTATATTCAGAGCAGCAAGCTTCTGTGGGGACTTGGAACTAAACGCACTCTTCAGTCACAGCACAAGTCTTGAGGAGACAAACCAGTAATATACAGAGACAGAGTTCTCTCATCAATCAGCAGCAGGAATAGCTAATTCTGAGCAGCTTGGGCTTTCCAAGATCTGTGTCACTCTGAGAATTAGAGAGCAGGCTTTCCCATGACCATTCTCCAGAGATGAACAGAAAATGCAGCAATATCAAAATCCCCTTTCATCACAGAGTACTCACTGTTTCTGGATTGTCCTCTAGATAGCATTAGACAGCAGTAGAAATCCTCTCTCTTTCAGCAGCTCCAAACATTGAGAGACACATGCACTTGAGTGGCTGTAATTCTGAATGTCAGGCAGGGCAATCCTTGATTTGCACACTGTCCTCCTGCAACAATTCCTCTGCTACACACTCCCAGCCCAGTTTATGGGTTCCAGCAGCACAGAGAGTGAGATTCTGTGACTTTACACCAGGAGCCCTTGTTCCATGCAGTCCCCTGAAAATGTCTCCTTCCCCACATGTGCTTCTTCTTCCTTTTTCCTCCCTCCTTTCCTCCACAGCCAATCAAAAGTCCAGCTGCAACAGTGCTGCTATGGGTGGATCCTTCTCAGCTGTAGCAACAACCAATCAGAACACAGTCCCGCTTTCCATGTCTGTCACTCACAAAGAGGGAGTTGCTTTACAACTTACCTTTTCGTGGAGCGGGTCCGGTGTACCCCGTGTGGCGCCCCCCCGCACCTGCCTCGAGACAGCACTGTGTTCGGCCCCATCACTACCTACCACCCGCTCCAACCTCCTGTTATGGGAAAGCTGATTGAAAATGGGCCGTTGGATGTGAAGAAAACCTTCCCCGTGGAACGCAGGCAGCAAAGACACCCCGATGGGCTTTTTACCTTCCCCTACCATATCCAAAAATACTCGAATTCTGTAATAAAGACATTTGAAACATTGTTGAAAAAAAAAATGGAATGGTGGGGTGGAGCCTCTGTCTGCGCCCTGGATGTGTTCCATTGTGCACGGTCCCCGTGTCTCGTTGTTTCATTGCCGAAAACTTTGTAACTTATTTTACAGCCTGCAGACGGGTGAACCTGAACTGAGCCCCATCCGCTGCTTTATTAATGACCTCAGGAGCGGCGGCTCTGCGACTATTATGGACTACAGCAATTTCCTCCGTCCAGCCACGGGGGCCTATTGATTTGCCTATAACGTGATCAATACTTATGATGCTGTACTGATACATTTATTGCTTTTATGGAACAAACAAGGCTTTCTGTCTTCCAAGAATTAGTTTATTTTCTACGTATTATATTTAACCACTTCAGCTCCGGAAGATTTTACCACCCCCCCTTTCATGAGCAGCCCATTTTTTTATTTTTAGCACTATTGCTACTTTAACCCCTCGCCTACAGAGCACCTATACCCTCTTCCTGCCTACCGGGCACTTCTACCCTCTTCCTGCCTACCGGGCACTTCTACCCTCTTCCTGCCTACAGGGCACTTCTACCCCTTCCTGCCTACAGGGCACTTCTACCCCCCTTTCCTACAGGGCACTCCCCCCTTTCTGCCTCCCGGACACTTCTACCCCCCTTCCTGCCTACCGGGCACTTCTACCCCCTTCCTGCCCACCGGGCACTTCTACCCCCTTCCTGCCCACCGGGCACTTCTACCCCCTTCCTGCCCACAGGGCACTTCTACCCCCTCCCTGCCCACTGGGCACTTCTACCCCCTCCCTGCCTACAGGGCACTTCTACCCCCCTCCCTGCCTACAGGGCACTTCTACCCCCCCCTCCCAGGGCACTTCTACCCCCCCTCCCTGCCTGCAGGGCACTTCTACCCCCTCCCTGCCTACCGGGCACTTCTACCCCCTTCCTGCCTACAGGGCACTTCTACCCCCTCCCTGCCTACAGGGCACTTCTACCCCCTTCCTGCCTACAGGGCACTTCTACCCCCTTCCTGCCTACAGGGCACTTCTACCCCCTCCCTGCCTACAGGGCACTTCTACCCCCTCCCTGCCTACAGGGCACTTCTACCCCCTCCTGCCTACCGGGCACTTCTACCCCCCTTCCTGCCTACAGGGCACTTCTACCCCCCTTCCTGCCTACAGGGCACTTCTACCCCCTTCCTGCCTACAGGGCACTTCTACCCCCTTCCTGCCTACAGGGCACTTCTACCCCCCTCCTGCCTACAGGGCACTTCTACCCCCTTCCTGCCTACAGGGCACTTCTACCCCCTTCCTGCCTACCGGGCACTTCTACCCCCTTCCTGCCTACAGGGCACTTCTACCCCCTTCCTGCCTACCGGGCACTTCTAACCCCTTCCTGCCTACAGGGCACTTCTACCCCCCTTCCTGCCTACAGGGCACTTCTACCCCCTTCCTGCCTACAGGGCACTTCTAACCCCTTCCTGCCTACCGGGCACTTCTACCCCCTTCCTGCCTACAGGGCACTTCTACCCCCCTTCCTGCCTACAGGGCACTTCTACCCCCTTCCTGCCTACAGGGCACTTCTACCCCCTTCCTGCCTACCGGGCACTTCTACCCCCTTCCTGCCTACAGGGCACTTCTACCCCCTTCCTGCCTACAGGACACTTCTACCCCCTTCCTGCCTACAGGACACTTCTACCCCCTTCCTGCCACTTTTCAGCTTTCAGCGCTGTCACACTTTGAATGACAATTGTGCAGTCATGCAACACTGCACCCATATTAAATTTTTATCATTTTTTTTATACAGCTAGAGCTTTCTTTTTGGTGGTATTTAATCACCTCGGGGTTTTTATTTTTTGCTAAACAAACCAAAAACCACTGATGGGCACTGATAGGTGGCACTGATGGGCACTGATGAGGATGCACTGGTAGGTGGCACTAATGGGCATTGACAGGCATCACTGATGGGCACTGAAAGGCAGCACTCATATATGGCACTGATAGGCGGCACTGATTGGCTCTGTTAGGCGACACTGATAGGCAGCACTGACTGGCACTGATAGGCGGCACTGATTTGCACCACTGATAGGCAGCACTGACTGGCAATGATAGGTGGCACTGAAAGGCAGCTGAGATGGGCACTGATATGTAGCATTGATGTGTACTGGTAGGTATTGATATGTGGCACTGATGGGCACTGGCAGATGGCACCTCTGGGGCCACACTGATCATCAGTACCCTGATGATCAGTGTAGATGTCCCCTCTGAGGGATGCAGATTACCGGCTCTCCTCTGTCAGCGTGACAGCTCGTGGGGAGAGGAATGCCGATAACCAGCACTTCATTATTTACATGTGATCAGCGGTGATTGGACTCAGCTGATCACATGACCGAGCCAAAGTCTTCTGCTCTTTCCGTTGATCGGTGATCCGCTGTGTCCGAGGGACACAGTGCACCACCGATCGCAATGCGCTGCGCGCTCCAGGAGCCGTGCATGCGTGGTTAGAGTGGGGGGACATCATATGACGCCCTCCCAGAACGAGAGAACTGCTGCGCTCCCGTCATTTCCTTATATGGCGGGTGGGAGGTGGTTAACTGGTAATTGTGCTGTCGTGCAACGCTGTAACCAAATGTAAGCTATATCATTTTTTTTCACACAAATAGAGATTTCTTTTGACGGTATTTGATCAGCACTGAGTTTTTTTTTTTTTGCGATATAAATAAAAAAAGACCAAAAAAATTGAAAAAGAAAACCACAATCATTTACTTTTTGCTACAAAACATATCCAATAAAAAAAATTTTAAAAAATCAAATTTCTTTATAAATTTTGGCAAAAATGTATTCTACTCCATGTCTTTGACAATAAAAAAAAAATCCCAATAAGTGTATATTGATTGGTTGGCTTTATGAGTTATAGTGTACCCCCAACTGAGACGGAGACGAGGGACGCCTATGAGGAGGGCATAGGACACACCCCTTGCCACGCCCCCTTAAAGGAGAATTATACCAACAACAAAAAACACAAGTGCTTTTTTTTTTCCTTTAAATACTGGCTTTTGAAATTTACAAATGCAACCATTTAGAATTTGGATGAAAGGTTTGGCACTCAGAAACACTTTGTGAAAGATAAAGAATATTAAAACATAAAGCTATAAACAGCTACATAGATCAGACCAAAATGAGGGACAAATGAGGAGGAAAGAGGGACTTGGTTCCAAATCAGTGGCAGTTGAGAGCTATGGTTATATAAACTACAAAAAGCAAAAGTTTTTTTTTTTTGTAGTTTTGGATGGAGTGGAGAGGGATGAGACCCTCCTTTCAGCTTTTATTGCTCAGTTTGCGCCCCCCCCCCCCCCCCCCCCCCCCCCCCATTAGAGAGATCCCCCCTCTCATTATGTTCTGTTTACCATTATCAGTGAAAGTGAAAGTAAAAAAGAAAATCCCAAATTTTGGGTTGTCCCCAGAACAGTAATAGAGGGGAAATTTTCCAATGGGGACACGAATTCTGGTGACAACCAGGGACCCCTCACTTTGGTGGGATTTCCTCCCACTCTCTGTTTTGGCTAAGGGACAGGAAGTGAAGGGAAATATCCCCAATGGAACACACCCAGTGGGACACATAAACCCCTTCAATACCAGTCTCTTTCACCCCCTTCCTGCCCAGGGCAGGTTTCAGCTTTCAGTGCTGTCACACTTTGAACAACAATTGCACGGTCATGCAACACTGTATCCAAACTACATTTTTACCATTTCTTTCACACAAATAGAGCTTTCTTTTGGTGGTATTTGATCACCACTGGAGGGGGGTTATTTTTTGCTAAAAAAAAAATCTAAAAAATATTTATCTTTTTTAAAAACACTTTCTGTTTTAAAATTTTGCAAATGAATAATCTTTCTTCATAAATTTAGGCCAAAATGTATTCGGCTCCATTTCTCTGGTGAAAATAATCCAAATTTGTGTTTAATATTTTGTCTGTAGGAAAGTTATAGAGTTCACAAACTATGAGATATATCACCCCCAAATGTCAGGACGGTACAAATACCCCCAAATGTCAGGACGGTACAAATACCCCCAAATGTCAGGACGGTACAAATACCCCCAAATGTCAGGACGGTACAAATCCCCCCAAATGTCAGGACGGTACAAATCCCCCCCAAATGTCAGGACGGTACAAATCCCCCCAAATGTCAGGACGGTACAAATCCCCCCAAATGTCAGGACGGTACAAATCCCCCCCAAATGTTAGGACGGTACAAATCCCCCCAAATGTTAGGATGGTACAAATCCCCCCAAATGTCAGGACAGTACAAATCCCCCCAAATGTCAGGACGGTACAAATCCCCCCAAATGTCAGGATGGTACAAATACCCCCAAATGTAAGGACAGTACAGATATCCCCCAAATGTCAGGACAGTACAGATATCCCCCAAATGTCAGGACAGTACAAATCCCCCCAAATGTCAGGACGGTACAAATCCCCCCAAATGTCAGGACAGTACAAATCCCCCCAAATGCCAGGAGAGTAGTGTCATGATATGGGTTTTCTGCCAGTTCCAGTTATTAATTCCTTGTTTTTTAATCCCTTGTGTCCAGAGGAAGTGCATCCTCCAATTAGTATTCTACTCCTGTGTGCCAAAGGCTCCTAGCTGTAATTAACATGCCCCCTCCACCCTCCTCAGGCCAAAAGGTCCCCAAATTCAATTAATGTATTCTCCCCCACTGTCATCCTGTTTACCGCTACAAATTCAATTACTGCATTTCCTTTCCTGTCCATCCTGTCATGTGCCCAAATGTACTACATCCCTAAGTAATGCCTTACTTTTGTGTCAGACGAAGTGCACCCATCCCCAATGCAATTAGTGCCCTTCTTGCCAAATGTTCCCTAATTCAATTAAGGCATCCCCTCCATTGTCATCCAAATGTCCACAAACTCAATCAGGGCATCCCCTCCATTGTCATCCTGCTAATGACCCCCCTCCATCTCTTGTCCTGCCCCAGGGTTTAAGAGGTCAGTGTTGGTCTCTCCTGTCATTCCATTCTGCTGTGCAGCCACTGAGGGATCCCAGCTGCAGCGGGACTCTAGTGGCCAGACTCTGCCTGAGCCCCATTGGAGTAAGGGTGACCCCAGAAGCCACATCAGCTCTGCCTGAGACTACCACATCCGCTCTGCATGGGTGTATGCTTCCCCTGTGTTATCTGACTGCATATAAACTGCCTCCTACCTCCCTGTTGGATTACAAACTGCTGTAGAGACTTTAACTTTGCCCCCCGGGGCTGGATTACAAAGTAACAAAGTATTTTGGGCTCTCTCTCTGCACTACTCCCCATTGAGTGCAAATCCCCCCAAATGTCAGGACAGTAAAAATACCCCCCAAATGTCAGGATGGTACAAATCCCCCCAAATGTCAGGATGGTACAAATTCCCCCAAAATGTCAGGACGGTACAATTGCCCCCCAACCCACATCCACTCTCCTCCCCTCCTTGTTGCCCACCCAGAAAGCATGTGTTTGATGTCACTTCTGGGTCCACCTCTTGGCCTCCCCGAGTATTGCGTTGCGATCTGCATACATCCAGTGGAGCCCAGAGGAGACATTGGGGGTCTCATTAAGGAGAACCTGTCACTAAGAAACAAATTACTTAGTGGGTCTTTCACCCCTCCCCCCCCCGTATGTGATCAAAAAAAGTGAACTATTAATATTTGTTTTTAAAATGTAAAAAATATGAAAGTTACACCAAAGCACATAAAATGCCCCCCCCCAAAATTTTTTTTATTTTTAGCACCCCCATATATACGCACCTACGAACGTAAACGTATATATATATACACAGTGGGGCAAAAAAGTATTTAGTCCCCACCAATGGTGCAAGTTCTCCCACTTACAAAGATGAGAGAGGCCTGTAATTGGCATCATAGGGAGACCTCAACTATGAGAGACAAAATGAGAAAACAAATCCAGACAATCACATTGGCTGATCTGGAAAGAATTTATTTGCAAATTATGGTGGAAAATAAGTATTTGGTCTCCTACAAACAAGCAAGATTTCTGGCTCTCACAGACCTGGACCTTCTTCTTTAAGAGGCTCCTCTGTCCTGCACTCATTACCTGTATCAATGGCACCTGTTTGAACTTGTTATCAGTATAAAAGACACCTGTCCACAACCTCAAACAGTCACACTCCAAACTCCACTATGGTGAAGACCAAAGAGCTGTCGAAGGACACCAGAAACAAAATTGTAGACCTGCACCAGGCTGGGAAGACTGAATCTGCAATAGGCAAGCAGCTTGGTGTGAACAAATCAACTGTGGGAGCAATAATTAGAAAATGGAAGACATACAAGACCACTGATAATCTCCCTCCATCTGGGGCTCCACGCAAGATCTCACCCCGTGGGGTCAAAATGATCACAAGAACGGTGAGCAAAAATCCCAGGACCACATGGGGGGACCTAGTGAATGACCTGCAGAGACCTGGGACCAACGTAACAAAGGCTACCATCAGTAACACACTACGCCACCAGGGACTCAGATCCTGCAGTGCCAGACGTGTCCCCCTGCTTAAGCCAGTACATGTCGGGGCCCGTCTGAAGTTTGCTAGAGAGCATTTGGATGATCCAGAAGAGGATTGGGAGAATGTCATATGGTCAGATGAAACCAAAATAGAACTGTTTGGTAGAAACATAACTCGTCGTGTTTGGAGGAGAGAGAATGCTGAGTTGCATCCAAAGAACAAAGAATACCTACTGTGAAGCATGGGGGTGGCAACATCATGCTTTGGGGCTGTTTCTCCGCAAAGGGACCAGGACGATTGATCCATGTACAGGACAGAATGAATGGGGCCATGTATCGTGAGATTTTGAGTGCAAACCTCCTTCCGTCAGCAAGGGCATTGAAGATGAAACATGGCTGGGTCTTCCAACATGACAATGATCCCAAACATACCGCCCGGGCAACGAAGGAGTGGCTTCGTAAGAAGCATTTCAAGGTCCTGGAGTGGCCTAGCCAATCTCCAGATCTCAACCCCATAGAAAACCTTTGGAGGGAGTTGAAAGTCCGTGTTGTCCAGCGACAGCCCCAAAACATCACTGCTCTAGAGGAGATCTGCATGGAGGAGGAGATCTGCATGGAGGATGGGCCAACATACCAGCAACAGTGTGTGCCAACCTTGTGAAGACTTCCAGGAAACGTCTGACCTCTGTCATTGCCAACAAAGGATATATAACAAAGTATTGACATGAACTTTTCATATTCACCAAATACTTATTTTCCACCATAATTTGCAAATAAATTCTTTCCAGATCAGCCAATGAGATTGTCTGGATTTGTTTTCTCATTTTGTCTCTCATAGTTGAGGTCTCCCTATGATGCCAATTACAGGCCTCTCTCATC